CCCCCCGGTTAACTTGTTTCGACGAAAGACCGGATAAGTCTTGACTTCAGTTTCCGTTGTATAGGCCTTGAGAGTGTCCACAGAGTATAAAAAACCAGCAGTTCCGGAGCTTTCGGGTTCAGTTTGGAATCTTTCGGCGATCTAGGAAGAGCTATTTATCCCTGAGTGAAAAAAGTTGGATTTCAAAATTAAAAAGAGTTCTCTTTTCGGGCTGGCCAGGCCCTACTTAGATAGAAGGAAAACACTTGAGAAAATATAGGAAAAAAGAATCGACTTCCTGTTTGTAGTGCGCATTTCGTTGTGTCGGTGCTGTCGTTGTGACCGAGATCCATACTCGTATAATAGATTTGCTCAAATTGAATCATAATTCTTGATTTATTTCAGAGATATTTAGGAGCGCTCCGTGAATTAGACTTTAAATACCCTGCTTTTGATGCAGAATTCATTCCCTTTTAGCTTTGATTCTTTTCCTTTTGGCTTTGATCCCGTTTCAGCTTTGATTCTCTTCCTTTTGGCTTTGATCCCGTTTCAGCTTTGATTCTCTGTGTTATTTTCCCGCAACAATTTCCCGTATTAATTCTTCGCAATAATTCTCCGCAATAATTCTCTGCAATAATTCTCAGCAATAATTCTCCGATGATAAAGAGATATCATTCAAAGCTCATAGTTTGAGATTGATTGAGGAAGACCTTGTAGGAAAGAATGAGGTTTTCAAGAAGTGTGAAATTGAAATGACAGGTTTCGTATTCCCTTTCATAGATTCCATGAGAGAGTCTCCAAATCCTTTCAGATCCCTTGTCGCGGTTATGATTTTCAAATTACGAATTAGTGAGTGATGTCCTAGAGGACGAGAGAACTATAGAAAAGTGAGAATTGCCATTAATGTTTGTGCTTTTTCAGACGGGCGAACAAGCAGATTTTTGTGTAAAAATTTTCCTCGAGGAAATTTAGAGAACAACTCGTGAATTTTTTGCAAAAAGGGACTTTTGATTTTAATAAACGAAACGAAAAATGGATGATGTGAATCCGCTGGTCATAGGTAAAAACAACTTTTCTTACAAAATTAATTTTGCCTTTCAAGATTAACAGCTGTTTTAATTTTTTAACAGATCTTGCTGAAGGGGAAGCCTCTGGTTCAGGTACAACTTCAACAGTCCATGAGGACGATCTGATGGATGAAGAGTCATTATTGTTGCCTGGTAATTCCTTTTATTATTACTGCAGGGAAATTCCTTTTTACAATTAGTGCTGTAACCGATTTAAAAATTGTATGTTTACAGAACCTTTTTACGATGCTGAAGAGGTCCCAGAGGACGAGTCGGGGCTGATTCAATTGCCTGAAGAGTTAAAAGGACGAGCAAAGGATCTTCGTGGATTGGACTCGGCGGAATGGACCAGGCTGTTGGATTATGCCAAAATCGTAAAGAACCATGGGATCGCCCAGATGGCAAAGAAGGGGATTTCAGCTGAACTCAAAAGATGCAAGGACAGCTCTTCATCCTTCTCTCGTGCAAACCTCCTTGACCTCGTCCTCCAACGACTGTATCTCCTTGCTTCAAGCCTAAACCAACTAGCTGCTGTTGTCCGCCGCAAGTCAGTCCTCGACAAAGTTGAGCGGCTGGTTCAAGCCCGAGCCAGCAAACGGGAATTCTCTTTGGCTATGAAGGACAGATCGGCGACGGATCTTGGGACCTTTCTTTTAAAACTGCGAGGACACAAGTCATTTTGGTTTGTTTTCAACTCGCCGACCAAGAAGCCCGAGCCAGCAAACGGGAATTCTCTTTGGCTATGAAGGACAGATCGGCGACGGATCTCGGCACCTTTCTTTTAAAACTGCGAGGACACAAGTCATTTTGGTTTGAGTTGGATCGAGGATGCCACATTTCTCATGATGGTGTGTATAAAATTCTTTGGCTATGAAGGACAGATCGGCGACGGATCTCGGGACCTTTCTTTTAAAACTGAGAGGACACAAGTCATTTTGGTTTGAGTTGGATCGAGGATGCCACATTTCTCATGATGGTGTGTATAAAAGCTTTTTTCAACTTCAAGTTCAAAAATATAAGGAAAAGAGTGTTATTTGAAAATCTATTTTCTTTTTTACGTTACAGAAAATGGGATGCTCTCCGTCCGAGTAGGACATGGTGACGAGACTGTTACCTTAAGGATTGGAAAGAGGGATCAACTGTTAAAAGGTTATGCCGCTCGACAAGGGCTCCCCGTCGTTCCTATTCCGCCTGGAATATCAAATCATCAGGCTTCTACGTCGCAGACTCCAGCTCGACCAAGTGCTTCTTCGACGGGATCTACGTCAGTGATGCAAACCCAGGCATCAAAACCTTCGACTTCATCCCAAATGAAGTCAACAGTTTCCACATCCAAACCATCGTCGGTTCCATTACTTCAGACGCCAGGAGAAAGATCTGGATCTTTACCGCCCAATCTGGCTGAGACGACTTCGACTATTTTTACTGTTACAACGGAAGCAGACCCCGGTATTACTGATGGTATGTATTCAATTTTTGCCAGAATTATATAAGGTAGATAATGGAAGCCCTTTTCAATCCTTATTTTTAGAGGATTTAAGAAAACTGATGGGGACCAAGCAATATTTTCCAAAGGACCCGATCAAATATCGACGAAATGTGGCGAAGCGACTCGGTCTCACCCCGGAGCATATAAAGAAACTTGGCGCTATTCAATTACCGATCCCAGGGGTTTTAATTCAGGATTGGAAGCATGGAACCCCGGAATTTAAGCTGAAAGGTCCGAGAAGAGTAAATGATCCAAAGAAGGTGGCTGTTTTGATAATTTCGTCATCGATGACAGCATATATTAGAATTGGCAAGCCTGCCCTATGCAAACACAGAGTATAACTAGGATTGGCCTAGAGAGTTTTCGGACAGAAGCTAAAAAGAGTGTACTGAAGCCTAGAAGGGAAACTCCAAAAGGTCCATTTATAATACTCTTCCTAAACATTTTTTAAAGATTTTTAATGGTTTTTATCTTTTTCCAGTATTCCGTCAGTGGGATTTCGTTCGCTCACGGGACCAGCTACACTGCGGCTGAGTGGAGGAAGAAAGTTTATGAGGATCTGAATCTAGGCGAGGACTTCGAATTCGCTCAAGTCTACGTTCGGATGGGTACAAACGACTTCAAAAATCTGGCCACGAAGACTTGGGACAATCAAGACACCACGTTTGACAAGCTAATGGAAGAATTTAATACGTTTATGAGTAACATAGCTCTCGAATTCGGGGTTACGGCTTTTGCTCTTGGGGCTTCTCCCCCTCCAGTTTGTCAATATTCCTCATTCGTCCACTCGGGTTTAGTCAAAGATTATAGGAATTTAATACGTTCATGAGTAACATAGCTCTCGAATTCGGAGTCACGGCTTTTGCTCTTGGGGCTTCTCCCCCTCCAGTTTGTCAATATTCCTCATTCGTCCACTCGGGTTTAGTCAAAGATTACCAGGGATTGCCAATTTTCCCCTTGCGGTTCTCGGATGGATCCCGTCAAATTGCTGATTCAATACGTACAAATGCTGCGCATGCTCTACAAGATGCTTTCCATAATTATTTGGTTTCAATCGTGGGGATACGGCAAGGGAATTTAAAAATAGATGGCCCTGCCTGGATTCCGCTTCCCACCCCGATCCTGCATTTGTTACCTTTTGCCAAGACGTGTGACATCCGAGGGGCTTTCGGACATCTTTTCATGCGAGCGTACTTGGTCTTTGCTCGAGATCATGCGTTAGCTATTCAGTTTGGTCTGGCCATAGAATTTGGAGTCCAGAAATGGAAAGATATCAGGTAAGAGAGAGTTTCTAGCTGGAAATTCCTTTGCACTTTAAGTAGCGAAAATTAGAAAAGTCAAGTACAATACCTTGGGGGGGACGAACCGAAGGCCTGCCCTGACGATGTACACCTTTTAGAGGAGCAGCACAGGTATTAGTAACGCCCCGATTTGGAGAAGCCTACTGTTTTGGAAAGCCCCATGGAACCTTGAAGCGAGTTGGAGAGCAACTAATACCTCCGAATCCATTTGATGTGTATGAAAATCTCCTCGTCGTGTCCATAATCATTGCGGGGCTAATGGAGAAGCCTACTGTTTTGGAAAGCCCCATGGAACCTTGAAGCGAGTTGGAGAGCAACTAATACCTCCGAATCCATTCGATGTGTACGTTTTTTAACCAAATTGAATCTTCATTTTACTGATCAGAGTTAAGCCAAAATAGCAAAGTCTAAAGGCTTCCAAAAGACAGTTCCGTAGTAACTACTCACAAAGAGCAACCTCAAGTAGGCTCCTTCGATGCTTTAACTAGAATGCCCTCTTTTAAGCTCACTGAAGTTTCTAAGAGATCGTCACATTGGAAAGATTGTGGTCGGTTCTTTGGTGCGATTGAAAAATACTCGTCAAAATATGATTGTCATAACAAAGACTCACAAGGGTTTTTGGCTAGTTGGGGACAAGGGTCAAATGTTCGTTTTGTTTGATGAAGTTTATTTGATCAGATGAATCTTTTTACCTTTGCGGTTTCGATTTTGTTCTGTTGTTTATTTTGACGCTGAAGTTATGTTTTGAGTGAAGTTTTGCATAAGTTTTGATGTGACGAACTTTTTTCTTTGAATAAAGATTTTTTAAGTTGATGATCGTTTCCAAAATTTTTCTTTTTGGTTTTTAAGCAGATTAAACAATTTTTTGTTTTTTGTTGTTAATCCTGTCCTTGAGGACACACTTGAATTCAATCTTTACTCTTTTTCTTCAAACAATTTTTTCCAAACACAAGAATACCTCTTTTGCTGACTCTAGTTTTTTAACGGTAAATTCTTTTAGAAATTTGTCTTCTATTTGTTGAACTTCTGCTTCCAGGGGAATAAGGTTTTGAACAGATTGATTTTTGAGGATTTTAGGCTTGGGAAATCTATCCCCCCTCGTTTTGTTTGATGAAGTTTATTTGATCAGATGAATCTTTTACCTTTGCGGTTTTGGTTTTGTTCTGTTGTTTATTTTGACGCTGAAATTATGTTTTTGAGTGAAGTTTTATATAAGTTTTGATGTGACGAACTTTTTTCTTTGAATAAAGATTTTTTAAGTTGACGATCGTTTTCAAATTTTTCTTTTTGGTTTTTAAACAGATTAAACAATTTTTTTGTTTTTTGTTGTAAATCCTGTCCTTGAGGACACACTTGAATTCAATTTTACCCTTTTTCTTTCTTCAAACAATTTTTTCCAAACACAAAAATACCTCTTTCGCTGATTCTAGTTTTTTAAACAGTAAATTCTTTCAGGAATTTGTCTTCTATTTGTTGAACTTCGGCTTCTAGGGGAATAAGGTTTTGTACAGATTGATTTTT